CTTTTTAAATTAGTTGCTTACAATAGTTGCTTATATTCTACGTGTAATACCTAATTTATATAATTACTTTTTAAATTTAGAAAAATGTATTTTAATTAAATTTAACTTATCTACAATTATGATTAAAATAATATGTATATACATACATATGCATAATACTTACAATTAATACATAATACCTACAAATAATATGTATGTATATACATATACCTAATATCTATAATTATGATTAAAATAATATGTATGTATATATGTAGAGAAAAATATTTTTACAAGTATTCATATATTAGCCACAATATTTATTAAGCAGGCAACGTGGTCCTGTGGCGCAACGGATAACGCGTCTGACTACGGATCAGAAGATTCCAGGTTCGAATCCTGGCAGGATCGACTAAATTTTTTTCCCTCGATTAAAAATCATTGCACCGATAAGATGTCGGTCGATTTCAAATTTCGAAATTTATTTACACGAAAAATATAGATGTCGTATATAGAATCGAATTACTGGAATTATTTAGTTATACATTTATCTATAGTTTCTCGGAACACATTGCTCGAGGTATACTCGTGCAATAGTGACAATCTAAGCGATTGTGAGCTAATCAAGTAACTAAATAAAGACCGAAGAGTGCCAAAATTATCATCAGGACACGTAATTTTTCGAACTAGTGTTTCGATACTCATAATGGAGCAATGGAGTAAGAAACGAAATTGAAATCAATAAAGTCAATAAAGGGACTCCTGTTAACCTAAAAACATGAGAATTAAATAAACATCCGTATTTTTCGTGTAAATAAATTTCGGGATTTGATATCGACATCTTATCTTTGATCGTTAATTTTTGAAACGAGGAGAAAGTAACTAATAACCAAAAGAACATTGATCTTAATGAACAATGGGATACACGGAAGCGAGTGAAAATATCTGTTATGTAAATAAATATCATGTTATAATTTATTTAACAACCAGTAGTAACAAAGGTATCTCTCGTTTCTCTTATGTATTTATAGCATAACGGAACAGCACTCTGTATCGTATGATGTAAGCTTAAATCTGTACACAACTATAATACGTAGGATATAGGATTGCCTTAGAAAAAGAAGTCTATCATATAATTTCACGTGTGTTGGATAAACGTTTCAATTCAACCGTTCCGTTTTGGAAATTGTGCGATAGACTTCTTTTCTTATGGCAATCCTACATCCCACATATAGTTGCGT